GAGCCTATTTTGGCACTATAAAAAGGGGTGTTTGGGTCTGCTTTTCTCACCAATTCACTTCACAACATTCATACTTTCATTGCATTCAAATATCATCATTTTCCATAGCTTTCTAGAGCCATTTTGTGTGGAGGTTGAGTTGTTCTTGAGCGTACTTAGTTTACTCATAATCTACTCTATAAGAGAGCCTCGTTCTTGAGTGTATTCCTGTTCTTAGACACTTTGAGAAAAAGTATTTCTCTCGGTAGATTCAAAGGAAGGGTTGTTTCCTTTGAAGGACTCGTTGAGGTTCGTGTAACTCGAACTCTCAAGTTGTAACGGTTTGTTAAGCACCCGCAAGCTTAACGAGATAGTAGTGTAGCTCGAGAGAGTATCTCGGGAGGCTGGATTAGCCACAAGTTGTGGCGAACCAGGGTAAAATTCGGTGTGCCTCTTACTCTTCTCTTTACTTCTCTTTTAATTTTTTAATTCCTGCGATTTCTACGATCAAACGCTATTCACCCCCCCTCTAGCGTTGGTCTATTATTCTAACAATTGGTATCAGAGCCTAACTCGCGTCCAAACTTAACCGTTTGAGAGTAAAGCGATCATGGGTTCTTCTTCTAGAAATCTTTATGCAGGAATTGGAGAAGGTCAATCAACCTCTAGGCCACCGCTTTTTGATAGTACCAACTACACATATTGGAAAGAGCGGATGAGAATTTATATCCGCTCAACCAACTTCCAGTTGTGGTTGGTCATCAAAAACGGCGAAGAAACGCCAATGAAGAAGGTCGATGAAAAACTCGTCCCAAAGACCGAAGACGAATTTGATGCCGAAGACATCAAGAAGGTGGAGAACTACGCCAAGGCAATCAACATGCTGTACTGTGCGGTCAATCCTGATGATTATCGTAAGATCTCTTGCTGCACCACTGCAAAAGAAATGTGGGACAAGCTGGAAGTGTCATATGAAGGTACGGACCAAGTTCGGGAAGCCAAAATTGACTTCCTAACGCAGGAGTACGAGATGTTCAGGATGAAGGAAGGCGAAAAGATCGATGACATGTTCGATCGGTTCTCAAAGATCATCAACGACCTTCACGCTCTCAAGAAGACGTACGCCAACAAGGACCTTGTGAGGAAAATCCTGCGGAGTCTCACACCCGAATGGAGATCAAAGGCTGACGCAATCTACGAATCCATCGGAGTCTCCAATGTCACCATCGACGGGCTAAGACGTAACCTCAAAACTTATGAATCTACTATTCTAACTCCGTCTTTGGATGAACAAAAGAAGAAGGGAATAGCACTGAAAGCAACCAAGGAGACCGTGGAAGAAGACTCAAGCGATGATGACAACGAGTTCGCACTCGTCATCAAGAAATTCCACAAATTTATGAAGAAGGAATTTGAGCGCAAAGGAAGAAAGCACGACGGCCCCCGAAGTGCTATGGCTGTGGTGAGATAGGCCACATCAAGCCGAGGTGTCCAAAAGGCAAAAATGGCAAGGACAAACCTGGCTTCAAAAAGCAACGCGCCTACATCTCATGGGGTGGCGACTCCGGGGATGAGTCAACGGATCAAGAAGAGGAAGAAGCCGCCAACCTTTGTCTCATGGCACACGAAGACCACGTCAACGAAGTACAAGAGGTATGTACCCCTTCTTCCGACTCTTACACTTTTGAAGAAATGCAATAAGCTCTTCGAGAGCTTTGTGATGAATTTGTTAGCGCTTCTAAAACCAACAAATCATTAAAGAAACGTCTTTCAACTCTTGAAAATGATTTTGAAAAACTGGAAAAAGATAATGAAAAGTTGAAACAAGAAAATAAATTTTATGGTAAAAGAAGTGCTGACAAACCGGAAAGCTCTTTAAGTGAATGTGAATCTTGCAAAGCTTTAAAAGAAAAAGTTGCAAAACTTGAGAGTACGGTTAAGATGTTTAATACACCACACAAGGATCTCAATTTACTCCTAGACACTATGCATTTTTTTAAGGAAGGTATAGGTTTTGATAAAAATGAATCTAAGGATAAAAACGTTGAGCATACACCTAGACAACCTACTAAGGCTCAACATAAGAAAGTTAAAAATCAGGATAATAGAAAAACTAGTCAACATAAGGACACTAGACAACCTAGACAAAAACCTAGGAATGAAAATGTGCATGCTAGACAACCTAGGAAAAATTATCAAAATGATTTTGTGCATAAAAATAATTTTTCAAATAGACAAAATAATGCTAGGACACCTAGAAGAGAGAATTTTTAAAAAGCAATATTTTCTCAAAATAGGATGAATATGGTTAGGCCCCCTAGCAACTATTATCAACCTAGGAGGATGCACAACCCAAACGTAGTTTGTCACTATTGCAACAGGGTAGGACATATAGCTCCCGTTTGCTTTACTAGGCATAGGCATTGGGCACAAAGTGAATCACACTACCACTTTGCACCTAACACTCAAGGACCCAAAAAGACTTGGGTACCTAAATCTTATTAAATCATTTTTGTAGGTGTGCTTGAAGGCGTCAAGTGTACTTTGGTACCTTGATAGTGGATACTCCAAGCACATGACTGGAGATGCATCTAAGTTCCTACAAATCAAACCCGCTAAAGGAGGAAACGTAGTCTTTGGAGATAATAGCAAGGGAAAAATTATTGGCGTCGGTTCAGTAGGTAAGTCCGAAGACTCCTCTATAGATAATGTCTTGCTAGTCAAAGGTCTTAAACACAATCTCTTGAGCATAAGTCAATTATGTGACAAGGGAAACCGTGTGACCTTCGATTCAAAATCATGCACTGTAGAACGCCTTAGTGACAATAAGGTCATTCTACGTGGTGATAGAATCGATAACATTTATATGGTTAACTTAGACAAATCTCCTTCCG